CCTTTTCCTGGAAAGAGAGATGATTGTAGCATGCAGTCATATATCATTGTACAACTTGACTGATAAGTGCACCAGAACTATCCACGATAAAACTCCTCATTCCTCAGCGCCATTGCGGATATTCATGCATGGGAAATATTTGTGCTCTTGAAAAGTAGGCAAATGTTCAGGGACAACATCCATACTAGAAAACAAACGTAAGGACAGCAACGAGAAAAAAAGGTCAGTGAATGCGGTGAAGTAAGCTTAACAGAAACAGAGCACAGCACTACAAAGGCTCACAAGAGGCGCAAGCGGTATTCTGCTGAAATGACCTACCTCGTCCATAATTTCAAAAGCTTTAACGCTCTTCGATGTGAGCTTTCGTGTTTGCTGCACGACGCGGACTCGCACAAGCTCGGCGAACTTCTGTCACCATTTATTTCCTAGCCACAAACCTTAACATAGTATCGCGCGCTGCACTTGGATCAGTGCTTGAGGGCGATTTTATTGACACCCAAACTTCATGTAACGTGTAGAAACTTCCTGCAACAACATGTCAAACTGTTCATGCTTTTCGGTGGCGGTCACGTGCGATCATATTGCGGTTTTGTACGGAATCAACGCGACTCTTTTTGGTGGCTCTGCTTGTAAGAAAGGGGACGTGGGTGATGCTAGTGACATTCGAATGGTGGTTCACAATCAGATTGCAATGTCTTAGATATGGGGCGCAAGCCTGTGAGATCAAACTATTGTAACTTCAGCGCACAAAATTTTCGTCATCATCATAAGCATAACGAGTTTCAGCGATGGCACTTTTTTTCGTAGTTTTTTTTTTCCCTGTTCATTTCGTTGGCAACGTGGGTTTTTATACGTTAAAATTTATATGCATATCGCATCGCATGCCTCGATTCTCAAACACACAAGACTGCATACTCAAGTTTTGCGATAGAGTAGCCTATTGTCACAGCGTGGCCACGTGGACGAAAGGAGCAGACTGCAGGTCAAGCATTAAACTGTTTATTCTAGTCGAACTGGTGGCCATGTAAAAGGAAAGTTATATTTCAGCAACACAGTGGCACTGATAGCAGCAAGCAGAGCGTCGACATTTATAAACGTGGCGTCGAACATTCTAGCGTTATTTCTTGTGGCCGCGTAGGTTCCAGAATAATGTGTAATGTCCGCGGAGTGGGCGTAATCTTAACAAAACCACCTACTATAATAGTGAACCTTCTAGAACACTAAGGCCCAGTTTGCACTGAGGATTCCAGACAGGCTTTGTGGCCTAAAACCGAATGAAACGTTAGTGTAAATAAGAAATGCACGTGGCATTATGAAGAACACTGTTTTGGATATATTGCAGATATTCACAATTTCGGCGACATATCTGCTATGAACAGTGTATGCTTAGTCAGAAATACAATTTTGGGAAATTTTACCCTGTGTAATAAGTGCACCCCTAACTTTGGGCTGGATTTTCTCAGAAAAAAAAAAGGTGCCTATTGTGCGAGTAAATATGGTATGTCCCACCTTTTTTTTTTTTCTGTAAACTGCTGGCTTGATTTCTGTTTAATTTGTTTCTTTGTAGTTTATATCAATACATATACCACTACTGGTTTTTTTTACCACAGCGTCAGAAATATAGGCAAGTTGCTTTCTACTGTTCTTGTCAAGTGCAAGCCATTGCGGCTAACCAGCAGAAACTGTACACAGTATACGAGCACCAGCAAACCTGTCAAAAACAACTATGAAGAAAAAACTTTTCCACACATAGCCTCCGCAAGTCTACCTCGTGCTTACGGACTGAAGGTTATGACAAGGTGCATGGACTACACTAGCATGAATTATCCAGAAACCGGGTTGATACCGTATTTGCTCGCATAACGAATGCACTTTTCTTTCTCGAAAAATCCCAGCAATGTTTGGGGTACGATAATTATGCGGGACAAATTTTATAAAAACTTTCTCAGTATGAGTGAAAAAATGTAATAATGCAAAAAAAAAAGTTAGGTCGGTCCCTCCTTTGTTGCATTTCACTGATCTTCATTAGTTGAAGGCATTATCTTCTGCAAGCTACAGTCGAATCTCAGTAATTCTCAATTTTCGAAGGGGTCCAAAAATTTGTTCGAATTAATGAAAGCTAAATGAACGGATGGCTCACCATGCAGTGGCCCATGTGCATTGAGCTAACACACGAGGGGAAGTTTCAGAAAAGTTACATTTACTCACAAATCACAGGACATCAGTCATTATTTGAAGTAATCGGTGATGCACGTATGCACACGTCTGCCTTGCAGCGAGTCAATTTCACATGCAGCTTGCAAAGCATTTCTACTTCGGCTTCAGCATTCTCCTGGCAAAAAAAGTTGCACGCGGTATTGTCCAGCGCCACCACTCCCGACGACGACAACAATGACTGCGTCTCTGCTACGCAGCCGTAGCATGGGTACCAAGTGACGAGAAAGAAGGAGCGTCTCCACGCGGAGAGAAGCAGGTCCGCATTTGAGAGAGAACGAACACTCCACAGCAGCTTTTTTTCCCTTTTTTGCGCTCTTCAAGCGCGTCGTTAAAAGGAGGAAAGTCTACGTGGCAGGGATGGGAAAGGGAAAAGCGTGGCACTGGCGTGTAAGAGAGCCAGCACTCCGCTACAGCTTCCTTTTTCTCTCTCGACGTTGAAACAAGAGGGGTCTTTATGGGGCAGGGACGGAAAAGGAAGAAGTGTCACACAGGCGCGTCGCAGATCGGCATTTGAGAGAGAGCAAACATTCCACTGCAGCCTTTTCCTTTCCTTCACGCGCAGCGTTGAGGTGTAACAGGTGCCGCCGCGAGATTGGGCGTGATGCTGAGAGCCTTTTCGGAGCGCCGTATGTTCGAATTACCCATCGCAAATGCTTGCGCGTTCGAATTACAGGGCGTTTTCACCCATTGGAATACACATAGCTTTGACAGGACATCAGCGTAAGTTCGAATTAACCGGAAGTTCGAATTAAGTGTGTTCGAATTAATGAGATTAAACTGCATTCCCGCGCTGCCTGTGCACGCCGTAAAAGCATTTGGCGGCTATTTTTCTTTGCAATCGTTGAACCACAACAGTGGTATTTGCTGTGATCTCAAGCGGTGACCAGAAGCGTGCATTACGACGCCACGACGCAGTTCACCGACTTTGTGGCAACCTCACACGACGACCACGTCGACACCATTGACATTGTAGCAAGCAACCAACAATGCAGCAAGCAAATCCCAAAGCATCAAAACAAATTGTTGATAACGAGATTAACCACAAAATACGACTATCGCCTCGATTGCAACTGAAGCGAGAATTGGGGACCATGTTGCGGGAATAGCCACGATCGTTTCTGGGTGACAAGCGATTTCTTTCTGGTTTTCCTAAAACCTGTGACGTGATGGCGACGAATGGCCCTTCACAACAGCCATAACAACAGCAAATCCTGTCGTTGCCGCTCGAAAATTGCATGCATGTGGTAGGGCCTTCAAGTTTTGTATTTGCAGAAAGTGACTGTCTGCTTGCATGGAAAGTTTCATGACCTTCGCTCCCTATGTGCTTGTCCGCTGCGATGAATCTACACTTGCACCGCTCGTGAACCTTGCTGTGGAGCAAAGATAATTAAAAATGACTGGATACACGCCACGCATAAATTGAAAAACTATACGGCGCGTGGCAGCGGGCAGGGGAGCAAGCCGAGGGGTGTCAGCATAATAATAATAAAAAAACAAAAGAAATCTAACGGGCAAGGAAACACCAGGTGTCTGTTAGCGGTACTGCAGCGGACGAATGTAGGGGGTGCGTTTATTAGGCAGGAAAAAAATCTTAATTTTGACTGAAGTTGGAAACGCATTTATTATGTGAGTGCGTTCATTACACAAGCAAATACCGTATTTTAATGAGGGTGCACGAATCATGCAAAGGTGCAATTCATGCAGTAAAGCATATCTTCTACAAAAAATTACGAATGCACAATTCTCATATACGTATTTCAAACTGCGATAACAGGGGCTGCAAGACGAAAATGAAGCTGCTCGATTGCAATTTTTCCTGTTTCACTATGGATTATATATCGCAAAGTCAAAATATTTCGACACAACATCCAGTCTATAATTATTGATGCTCATTTAAAATCTCCATTTTCTCTGGCTCCTTAACAACCATGTGGCCCTACCAGCTGCCATAGGCGCTAACATGTAATGCCAGAAAAACGTCATGGCAAGGGAAGCTACAAGCAGAGCGTTAGTTTTCTTTTACTCAAAAACGATTAAGAAAGAAAATAAAAAACAGCAATTTTTGTGCTCTGAGCTGTGTAAAACTGTGGAAGTACAGCGAGTAATTTGCTCGGTTTCACTTTAAAATACATCCGGGCTCAGTCACATTATCTTCACTCGATCGGCGCAGCCTCTCAGTGTTTTTATAATTGGTTGCGATATGTTGTATTTTACAACCTCTTCGGGTGGCTTAGTCCTCGCTATGCCTACTATGCGCATTGTCAGATAGTGCCGCACAACTTATCAAACTGGAAACGTTTGTGACAGCTTTACGGCGAAACACTCTAGACTACGATGCTACGAACCTCAGTCAACTGACTCGGCAAACATCACTGCATCGCCAAGTTTTGTCAAGGACAGAGACTTTTCATCGGCTGTAAAGGTGAAGAAAACGTGAACGGAGAATTAAAATTGCGCTTTTATAGCTATTAAACGAACTCTGATGATGAAATAAGCCAAGGCATGTAGTCCTAAATGGATGACAAATATTCTGAATACACACTAGTTTAAAATTTTTGAAAAATGTTTCACAATCCCTTAACTCATCAGGTCTACAAAGATCCACGGGCCTAAATATCACGCATTTATGACACATCTACCCAATGCATTCGAGACAATCATCTCAGCCCATACAAGGTACTAACTTGCTCCCCAAGAAAAGAGCAGGATTGCTGCAACAGCAAATTACTACATGATTGTACATTTATGATGTGAGATATATACCAGTAAAAACTGCAACTTACTCGATCAAGGTAAGCCTTGAGTTCATCAATGTTGCTCTTTGAAAAAATGAAGCCTTCCTCGTTTTTGATGACCTGGACTTCCAGATGAGCTCGGGGCTGCTCGTCAAGCAGGTTCAGTTTCGCAATGATATCCTTCCTAAGCAGGGAAATTGTGCACGCACGAACAGCCTGGAACAAACAATGTTCATCAGTGGCTTGCAGCACCTGGGAAATTTAACGAGAACCAGGAAGTTTTATAAGCGGTCTCAGCACGCGCACACGCACACACACGCACACGCATGCACGCGCACACACACACACACATTTTGATGATGGTGCTACCTACAGCAATTTTCCCATTTCATAGCTGATTTAATTGTAACTACAAACTGCAGTTAACATTTTTCCAGCTGCTAAACTCATCACTGTGTATAATATCCCGGCCTTCCTTGCAAACATTGTTTTCTTACAAGCAGCATAAATAAAAATAAATTTTCCCCAACAATAAAATTTTCAGAAACAGCAAAGCTATTTTCAATTTTAAAGGCGTTACAGACACAAAATTTCGCAGCCGAGCCAGCCTGAGGGATCGCTTCCCATAACCATGCGGACATCATCTGCAAAATATCAACAGTGAATATAGCTAGGAAGGTACTTTAATTTTGACTCCTTCGCGCAATTGACACCCTCAAAGGTGACCCCCCCCCCCCCCCACACTTCCCTCACGCAGGAGCAAGTTACGACAATGTAATAGCTGTCATTTTGCTTTGGTTGCATTTGCTCCAGCAGACTATTACTCTGCAACTGGCGCAGGTCCATGGTCGCAGCGCACGAGTTGAAAGTTTTGTATTTGATGACAGTGCTGTCCAGTTTCCCGTTTGAAAAATCTTGAGGTAAACTGTGTCGAAGTGCATCAGTTTTTGTGTTGACATGGCAAAACGTTGCACCTGCTAGGTGGCGATAATTATGCTCAGTGGCTAAATTTTGAAACAAATTGATGCTGCTCGGTAATAACGAGCCTGTAATCATCCGTCGTGCGCTGCAGAAAACTATGTGCAGTGTTACGACAATCAGGCCCCCAGGAACACACTGCAGCAAAAAAAAAAAAAAAGAGGCCAAAACTTTTCTGTCAGTACCCCTTCAATAAAAATTTTAGCAGAAAAACTGTGTCATTGAAAACAAGTTTTGGAATTATGCATATTCATTTCCTTGGTTGAATTGTAACGGGCTGAAAAGTGGCCTATGCACAGTGTGCTAGATTAAATGCCTTTGCTGGTTATCCCCTTGCATTGTGCGTAAATATACAGCTATTGCAACAGAACTTTGCTCTGGTGGCTTCTCTTCAATAAAAATGTATTCTCAGACTTTACTTGTGGCTAGCATATGGCTGCTGCAAATGTACAAAGATTCACAACAAGCCATCCCCCTGGGACGATGTCCCAGTGTGAGCAGACCTTCTCCTGCTCCAGAGTTTCAATGCGCTTCTCCAGATCCCGAAGGTCTTTTTCTGATGGAACAGAGACGCTGCAGAGGTTCAGGGTCGGCATGCCAAGCTTGGCACACAGCTCGGACTCCTTCGCCTTGAGCTTTTTCCGCTCACGCCTGCGATTGTTCCTTATCTCCTTCAAGTGCTCCAGACTTTCCCTGGTGGCGTTCTCTCTTTCAAGGATGGTCAGGGACTCTGGGAACTGAAAAGAAACGGGACCATCAGTTGCGCTCAGACACAGCTACTCATAATCAGATGCTACTATTCAGTGTAGTCCCAATCACATGCATAGAGCCGTGGAAAGAGTCTTACAAGCTGGGATTGGGACAAATTGGATACGAGTGCCATTAATGTGCTTGCGGCGTGGCTACTCATGGTATTATTGCTCTGTCAGTCCACAGGTCCAGGAGAATGCTGGCCAAAGCTTCTCTTTCTGGCTTTTCAAGCATAACACTTAATTACTGATAAATACACACCGTAAGAGTTCTGACATCAGCAAAAGGCATGCTCGGTTATTTGTCGCGAGGGTAGGACACTGGTTTCTCAAAGTGTAATATATTAAAGAAATAACTTTTTTGAAAACAGCAATTCATTGACACACAGGCATAACGGCAACAGGCGCCAAAGTTTCCTATACTTTGCAGTGATCTTTTGGCCATAACAGCAATTTATACAACCAACAAATTCTCTATTCTGAATGAACAAAAAAAGCATAAAATCTCACCTTATTCCTGCCATGCATGCCTGCCAAGTTTAAGGATTCTTATTAACTACACAGGTGGGGTGTCCTAACTATAGTAGTCGCTCAACGATACGTACGAATCTCAAGTGGCATAGAAAATATTCCTATCACCTGAAAGTTTGTACAATAAAAAAATAGCAAGATCGATTTCCAAACCACCGGTATGTGCACAAAACATTTGTTTACGTCAAAAGCACTCGCGCACGTTTCTCTGGGACACAAGCGAATGAACTAATAAAGGACGATGCATATGGCTGCTGTGAAAATGCGCGCCGAAGTTTTGCTTGAGGCCAACTGAAAAGTGCTGAAGTACACTCCACTGCAGTGCTAAGCAAGGGCAACATTGACACTGAGATGCATTGTGCCATTTTTTCAACGCCTTTGTCGCCTTAATCTACAACTGCGTTAGCCGCGTACCTACGGTACAGTGCCTAGAAGTATATTCAAGCCACTGTAACTATGGAGCTCGTAGCTGCTGTTGATTACGTCGCAACGACTGCGGTTTCTTTTGTGGTGGTTGCAGCAATGCGGTAGTTCAGTTTTTAAGCCGTGTGCAAGTCCAGCAACCTTCAAACTATTCGCTTGCTGTAATTTATGAGTCGCTGTTTTCTTGGCACTGTTTGTGAAAACAAGGGTAGCTTTGTCTGGGTGAGCATTGGACATGCAAGCACTTTCTGGCAACAGTGAACTCTGTTGGGTTGGCTGCGCGCATCCATCAGAGGCTTCCAGCATGCTGCGCATGGCCATCGCATCGATGTTTGTGTCGCCCGGCGCAATGTTCCAAAGTGTTCCCGCCATCAGGCCACAGTGGAATATTGGCCGAGGAATTTTGAGGATGCATATCACTCATATTCTACTGCAAGTCTACATAAACGCCTTCTAATTCATTTAAATTAAAGTGCAATAGTTTTGCTAGATCGGATTAGGTTGGATTTTTGTCAATGTGGCCAGATCACACACAAATTTTGATTTCCGGAAAATTTCCCAGCCAACCACACAAATGTAAAAATGGTCAAAATCCAAGAGTCAATATGAAAATCCGGGGGACTTTGCTAGTATGTGCATACTGCAGCATGCAGGTTACATTTCTGGTGGCTTCTAATAATCTACTAAAACAATTTGTATGTCTTGTGTTTAAAATCGGCGTTTCTTTTTTTTTCTGAATTTTCTCAGAACCCGACTGTTTTACTCTTTGCAACCCTTCGGAAGCGATTTTCCAATAAGAGCAGACAGAATTGCAAATCTTGATGCTGTACTGAGCTACACAAGTACTGCCCACACGTCTGGGAGGAGCATCTTGTATACTAGTTTCTTTTTCAGAATTGATTTGTTAAAAAATTAATTAGCCACATTTTTAACAAAAATAATTGGTGTGCTATATAAGTACATTTAAAATATTCCTACGCTTTCAAAGATTATGTTTCCTAGTAAGAAGCTAAAGTAAGAACTTGATAAGTAGTTTTTGCTCCATTGTTCACAGAAGCAATACTAATCAGTGTTGATTGACTTTTTAACTCATTAACATATATTAAAAATAACTGCATATTTGGAGTAAATGAAGAACACTCAAGAAATCTATGGAGTTTCATTAAATCTGGTAAAAAAAAAATGTTGATTAATCTAAAAAAAAACTCCCTAATCTAACTTGCAGCCTGCACAAACAATAACAGTGTAAAGTGAAGCTATTTAACTCAATAGGTGCAATAGCCATAAAGAAAATATTACGCCCCTCATTCCAAATGTTCTCCTACAATCCACACATCACTATAGACAAATTAAAAATTATTTTGCAAAAGAAAATAAAGGCCAGCAATAATTTTGTTTTCAAATATTTATTATTAAAATCACCCATGATAATGCTGCATTCAACTTATTTTTAAGTTCAGCAGCCAGGTGCTTCAGAAATCAGCTATATGCTTAAGTATGCTGTTTAGCAGAAGCATTTGATTTAACTACCAACATGCAGTACCTCCAATTGAACAGGGTATAGTGGCCACCTAACAAGGATATTGAACTTTTCGCCCCCTTTTCAGAAAAGGAGTAAACTTCCTGCAACATCCTTAGCAAACCGCTGCAGATGAACCATGCACAAAAGCTCACAGCGCTTGCTATGGTCACCGATGTCACAGCAAAACCCTCATGCCGACAGAGTGATGACACCACATATGCACTCATAGCACTTGCATACAACTTATCTCAAACAAAGTGGTAACTAATAGGCGATGTTGGCATGGTGCACAAGTGGCTGCTAAACTGCCCTGGACAAGGGCGATTTTGCCTGTACAGCTTTGGTGAGAAAAAAAAAAAAAACAAGTTTTAAGTGCAGAATATAGAAACATTATACACAAATAATTGAGAATACACAAACACAAAAATGTGAAACACACATGCAAGCAGGCATACACACACATATACAAGCACAAATACTCACACACACCAAAACGAAATCGTTGCTATTGTGCTACGTAGAGATAAAATCAAACGAGCAACCTTAAAACTTTTTTTCCCATAAAGCTACGAAGTGAAGCACACTAGATGATTTGTGCCCTGCTGTCGCATCCATAACAAATGACTTGAGCAGCTATATTCCCGGTTCATCAGGGTCTTGTTAACTGCAAAGACGAGTACATAAAAACAAGAAAACAAATGCAAACACGAAGAGTGGTGCATGTTAATCTTTACATCAGCTGAAAAACTGGCTGAATCTGAGCCCAACAACATGCCTTACTTTCATACAGAATGCCAAGAAATTTCCTATAAAGGTAAGTGCGAGGAAGCTATACACCACCTTATCTGACAACTGTGAAGTATACTAGCATGTAAATGTAAGGTAATACAATTCCTGACACTTTTACACTGCCGCACTTTAGCAACAGTCATCCCAGAACTGCTTTGCCAATGTCTCTTTCTGCCATCTTGTTCGCTATGACATTGTCTAGCAATCACTATTTTATATAATCATTCATTTCAATCAATTGGCCGTAGCAAGGCCCTGCCTCTCTGTGAATGGACATGACCCTAGCCCTCTCCGTATGTGCAACACAGTTTCACAAGTCTGTGCTTACATGTGCCATTTGTCTGTGGAGCTATATTCAAGCAGATGGCCTCCAATCAGAGGTGATACAAGTTATTTCCAAATATTAACGAGTGCATCCCGCCATGCTCATACACGTTCTTTACAAAAGTGAGCACAGTGGTGAACTTACCTCAGGGTTCGGCATTGAGAGCTCTGTGCATAGGTGGTGAACATCGGCTGTAAACTGCTCTATGTTTTTCAGCAGCCTCTCTTTCATGTCAACCTCGCCGTCCACCATTTGGTCGAGCAGGTTCGTGATGTGAACCCTGGTGCGCACAAGCCTGCTCCGTGTGGGCTCATAGTCTATGCCCACCTCTGCCCAAACCTGTGCAAGCAGTTCCACCTTACTTCGGACTATTACACAGATTTCGTCAATCTCCTGGGCCCTGCGTTCAGAAAAAAACAAGCATGCAAACCTTACAGTGGAATCACTCTTGTCTAAACAGGTGGTGTTGTGAATAGTCGACTGTGTGATGTCTGACAGGAGGCGAAGTCCAAGTTCAGCATCGAGAAACGCGACAAGCCACTAATTTTCACATCACAGTACATTAGTGTTGAAGTCTCTAGCTACTAACGCCGGCACATCCTGTATACACACCGCACGGAAATTGTGCAGCAAGAAGGTAATGACATCAGTCCGCAAGGTTCCTGGTGAGATGTACACTGTTGAGATGCCTCCGCCGTGAGATGTTTCAATAACCCAAGCGTCACCACAACTCATCTGGGGCAGCGAGAGGAGTTGGTGGGTCTAAACCGATAGTGGCAGTGGGCATTTTAATAGGAACCGAAATTCACAGGCATTAAAGCACCAGCAGCTTCCCGAATAGTGCTAGACTTCATGCAAGAAATTTTTCCTGTTGTTTCAGAGTGAAAATGGAGCCAGACAGTGGATCCAGAGACCCACCTCTCCTTTGACTGGCGCCATCGGACACGTCAACGTTTAGGAAAAGTACATATGGCTAGTCCAAACAATATATACGCTTTGTTCAAAAATGTTTTTTCCAAGTCTCGTTACAGTAAGCCAGAGGTAACTGGTGTATATACATGTTAGTGAGGCTGTTAGTGAGGTTGACAGGCATGAGTGGTCTGTTGTACTTGTTTAATGCAGTGTGTTCAGAAGCGAGGGGTTGCTGGTTCGAATCTGCGCTGGGTGCCTGGGAATCGTTTGTTCCGATTTATTTTTATTTGTACCTTTTATAAATATATACATATATCCGAGACATGGCGGCAACGGCAAAAATAGGCCGCAAGTGTCCATATATGCTATCCCAATAAAAAAAAAATACTTCATGAGTGTGACGCATTGCTGGAGCAGACGTTTTAACAAGCAGACTGAGTGTGGTCCTGAGTGATAAAAGTCCGCTTGTTGAAACCCAATGAAACCCCATGTTCGCAAACTTTTCATCAGTTTATGATCTTGCATGTTTTGCGCTTCACTTCAGGAAACCCTTGGCCAATACAGAAGACGTTTCTGACAATTAGGTAATGAACAAAAGGCTTAACAAGGTGTTGCAAGAGTTGAGAATGACACTTCTCCTACAAAATGGGTTGTGGAACACGCAGAGACTAAAACAGCGAGGAAGTGTCCCTACCAAGTCATCTTTAACATAAAATTTAAAGAATATACGTGCCAGCTATCAACTGGTGGTTTTATTTAGGAAACAGATGCAATAGAAGAGGTGGGATTGAAAAAAAAAATGACAACGAGGTTATGAATGGTCACTAGTGAAGCTGCAATTTAGAAGGCATCAATTACAACTGGAAAGCAGCTGCTTCGATCACATGGGACAAAAAAAAAGGGGGATGGGGGGCAGGGTTAATTGTTTGGTAAGGATTAATGGCTATGTAACACATCTAGCAGTTCCGAGCTGATCTTAGCTTTTGCCTGACGTTTTCGAGCCTCTGGCTTTGGTTGCATTTCCAGAATCTGGACATTCTTGATTCCAGACTTTTTTGCTTAGATTTTTGTTCCTCAAACAAACTAGCAGTTGATAGTGAGTGCTATTGTTACCAAGAACCACACTGTCATAAGTAAACTATACAGCTTATACGCATTATAAAGAGGAGGCCCTCACTTAGTTTTGACCACCTACACTTCTTGAATGTCAACCTTATTTTAAGTTCCAGAATGGATGCAGACAACTATTTGCATGTTATGCTAGACCTCTTTACAGGCTGCTACCTACTTGCCCGAGCTCCTAGGCGCAGAAAAAGTGTTTGCACACAGTCCTCGCTGAAACGTGGCCATTGTGGATCGAACTCCAAACCTTCAAATCAGCATCACAGTGGCACAGCCTTCTCACTACTATGGGAGGTACCGCCAAAAAAAAGATGACCATACGAGGAAAAAAAAAGTTGTCACGGGCAGGTGGCAGTGAAACCTTAGTTTTCACTGGGTTCACAGATGGCTGAACAATGTTTTCATAAAAAAAAAAAAGGATCGCAGATTAGGAAAGTCTGCCTGTCAAGTAGCAAAACCTAGAGTGCTAAGGAAAACATGTGAAAGTTCGGAAATTCCATGGCTACAGCAACAGCTCTTGTCAGAATATCACGTGATGCTAAAATTACATTTCATAATGGAGGTCAGAATCCATAGCCAACTTCCACGCACGAACACAAAAGGGAGAGACAACTCCCCTACCTGGCCAACAAGCCTCATCACACCGACTACATCTAACTGGCTGACAGTATTTAAAAAAGATGATCCAGGTAACACGCAATTACATTTCAGACCATCGCTACAGCCTCAATCCTTTACCGGCATACCCAACGAGTTGCCACGACTCTTTTTCGTACTATCTTTAAGTTTTAGTAGGGCTAAACTGACTAACTTTACTTCCGCATGATCTCAGTAAACGACGCCACTTTCCAATTCTGCCTCTGAACTCTCTCTCACCTGTTGTGCTTTTCAATGCATGGTCTTTCACACACTCGTACGAGGACGCGCCACAATTATCACAAACGCGTTCGTAAATTGTAGCTTGATCGGTGCGTCACAAAAATGGGCAAAAACGCGGAAACAAGCAAAGAAAAAGACTTACATACAGCGATAACGCCAGCGTTTTTCCCCCCTTTTAATCGGCGTTTTTCTACTGTAAAGCGCTGGCAAGCGTCGAGTAATCCGCCACTTGCCCAAGCTTAGCCCTTTAAGTGCTGTTCGATAAAACGCCACATTACACAAAATGACATTTACGTGACCACCTTTTACAACGAGAAGCCCACGTTACGTTTAGTTCACTGAAGGCCAGAGACTTGGGTTTCTTATTTGCTGGGGCGGGGGCTTTGCCGATGTTGACAACAGTCGACGCCGGACTACTATGCACAGAGCGCGGGGATAAACGCAAACTTGGCATTGTTGAGATGAAAAGTGCTCAAGCGCAAGGTACAGTACACTTCGCCGCTATACTTCTTTACTGGAACAATACACAATCGCTAATTAAACGTGTCGTGGGGACGAGGTGCCAGCGATTACCCTTTGCCCGGCACCACTGTTAAAAGCGCTAGCGCACGAGGCCACACTGCCGAAGTACGCCAACCGCCTCTACACCACGTTCCCTCTTAAGAGCTATTTATAATAAGAGTAATGTAAAGCCACTGTCGGCAGAAAAACCAAACGGAGAGTACTGTAAAGCCACTGTCGGATGAAAAACCAAACGGAGAGTAGCAAGTCGAGCATGCGCGCCTCGCCCAAAACGCTAGATGGGTCGTACTCACCTTAACTCTTCAATGCTTGGAATGTCCTCCATGCCAAGTTTTCAGTTGAACAAAAAAACAAACGTGCCAGAAAACTTCGCCCGGACAGCCCCAAACTCTTGAACGGGCATGCGTCCCACCAGCTGCAATCGCGGTTACAATCGAAACGGTCGTTCGAAACCGTCAACTTCTACTGACCAATGCCAGCGCGCGAGCCAGTGTGGCTGATGGCGATGGCGCGCGGGGACTTCTAGGATGAATGGATGTGGCTGTACCCTTTAGATTGGGCGGTGGCTAACGCCATCTAGCAGTAATGCTTAGTGAACTAATTATTAGATTTTTTTTTTCCTTTAAATAGTGAGATTGAGGATTCGTACTTTGCTGTGAAGGGTTGAATTGTCACTCACGCCTTGACTTTAGCCACCAATTAGATAACCTCTTTCTAGTTAAGTCTACCCGCTTAAACTCCATTTTGCCCTCCCTGTCCCTAAACCCCAGTGCTTTGAAAAACTCTGCGCCATCATCCTGAACTATAGGGTGAAGCCCTTTACAGAACATTATCATGTGTTTGGCAGTTTCTTCTTTCTCTCCACACGCACTGCATACTGTGTCTACCCCTTCGTATTTGGCCCGATATGTCTTGGTTCGCAATACACCCGTCCTGGCCTCAAACAGTAGAGAACTACCCCGAGTATTATCTTAGATCCTTTCTTTGGCAATTTCCTGCTTGAAAGTTCGATAGATCTCCAGTGCGGACTTCTTAATCATGCCGATTCTCCACATGTCAGTCTCCGTTTCCTTCACTTTCTTCTTAACCGATAGTTCTTTTTGGTTTGGCCACCTGCTGTTTTCTAAGTACTTACCAATCGATTTCCTGGTTCGCTTCCTTCATTTTGTATAGACATTCTTCATGTACAAGTAGCCAAAAACCTTCCTAGCCCAACGCTCCTCCCCCATTTCTCTAAACCGTTTCTCAAATTTTATCTTGCTGCTAGCTTCCCTGCCCTCAAATGATGTCCATCCTATATCACTTTGTACTCCCTGATTCGGTGTATTCCCGTGAGCTCCTAAAGCAAGCTTACCTATTCCACGTTGCTTAATTTCTAATCTTGCTTGAACTTCCGATCTCATGCACAAGACCGCATTGCCGAACGTCAGCCCTGGAACCATGACCCCTTTCCATATTCCTCTCACAACATCATACCGATTGTAATTCCTACAGTGCCCTATTTTTCATCACTGCTGCATTCCTGTTACCTTTAGTCGTCACGTATATTTCGTGTTCCCTTAACTACTCGGTCCCATTGCTTATCCATACGCCCAGATATTTGTATTTATCTGCTATCTCCTGCTTGACCTCCTGTATTCTAAGCTCACTACATTCGTTATCATTAAAAATCATGACTGCTGATTTTTCCTTACTGAATGTAAAATCTAACCTATCTCTCTCATTACATCGGATTGATCACCTCTCATCATTAATCTCATACTTTCTTCTTTGAGTGCTCTTCGTCGGCAAGGCAATGGGGTCCTCTTGGAGCGGTAAAGTAGTTCCTAATTACTGTGGCCTTTTCAATTAGCAGCTGCATCAAGTACTGTTAAACGTCTGTGCCATCGCAAATGCGATTTTGTTTATGTCTTTATGCACTGCAAGGTGGCCGCCTTAGCCCAAGCGTTCGTCTCACTTATAGCATCAATTGAAATTAAAAATATTCTTGTGACATGTGCCTGCCTCACGTGGATGTAATGGCGCGTTCCTTGCTTATGCGTGCCCCGAGAAACATTGCAGCCGGGCTTAAAAGGCGACATGATGAGCTTAACGTTTTCTTAGATACTTCGAAGTTCAATCACACTTTAACAGGTGACGGGATGCCGCCCAATTTCTGTTAACATTAAGGTTTTCTAAATATCTGCGTCCAATATGGAAGGCTCACCTTCCTATCACACTTTTTTCTCTTATTATGTTTTGGCGGTCAACAATTGCAGATACTACGATGGTTTTGTTTAATACATTCATCATGAAGGTTAGTTATTGCGATGGGAATGTATGAAGTGTCAATGAGGTTACATCCACTTTGAACGGTGCTATAGCTGCCAAACACCAAAACGTACATTCAGCAAACCCTCCCTGTAATCCTTTAATTACACAGTAAACTTTTATTTACCCCTGTAAAGACACGTTTGCCCCGCCACGGTGGTCTAGTGGCTAAGTTACTCGGCTGCTGACCCGCAGGTCGCGGGTTCAAATCCCGGCTGCATTTCCGATGGAGGCGGAAATGTCGAGGCCCGTGTGCTCAGATTTGGGTGCACGTTAAAGAACCCCAGGTGGTCAAAATTTCCGGAGCCCTCCACTACGGCGTCTCTCATAATCATATGGTGGTTTTGGGACGTTAAACCCCACAAATCAATCAATCAATCAATCAATCTCATTACCGCAGATGTCCATCAATCTCTGCAAATCTTCCTTGTTGTCGGCCATTAGCACTATATCATCTGCGTACATTAATGCTGGTAGTACCTTGTTTCCTAGTTTTCCTTGTTTGACTAAAGACAGGTTGAAGCCAAGTCCACTTCCCTCTAATTTGGCCTCTACTCCTTGTAGGTACATCATGAATAACAAGGGTGACAGTGGACACCCCTACCTATGTCCCCGTTTCACCTCTGTGGGCTTGGATACTTGTTTTTCTCACTTTATAACTACCTTGTTACTTTTATAGATTTAATTTAAAAAATTAGTGACTCCATCTTCCACACCCAGTGTGTCTAGTATTCCCCACAAGTCCTCTTGAACCACGCTAGATCGGGCGGCGGCTAACGCCACCTAGCCGTAATAGCGCGTTAGAGAACAACATTTTGTCCCACCGTGTTTTGTCCTGTGGTACAGTGTTCTAGAAGGGGGCAGTGGGCTCACTCTTCGGCGGAGGGTATGCAGAGGAGTGGCTGAGCCATCATTCCCATGGTCGCTGAACGATCGCAGTGCCAGAGTGCCCTCTAGTTAATTTTGAGAAACTCTACGGGCGCAGGGACGTAAAAATGTGGCGGAAATTACGTCACGCGCGGCCATATTCACTGGGCACAATGGCGGCGTTTTGTTATTCTTGATGTAGTGCGGTGCAGGCACCGTTCAGGCGGTCCAGCGGCGGTGTGCTCGTTTTCATGGGCCTCGCACCTAACCGTGGCGTACTGCAGGTGTTCGACAGCATCCATCCTTTGTGCCGCATTGTTAGCTACGCGATCTTCCTCCGGTGGTGGTTGTAACCATGTGTCTGAACTAGAAATCACGGAACAAGCGCGCGTATACGTACTTCGAATTGGCAGCGTCCGTCAAAATTATGCTGAAAAGCCATCATAGAAGATAACGACTGTGCTCAAGAATTCGTTCAATGAATGCTTTGCAGGCTAGTGACAGTTATGCGGTGTTGCTTCTTATGACAACGAACGATGCATTTGCGGTCCAAAGGCCCTTATTAAGACTGTAATCTAATCTTGATTTTCATGTTCCTGTACAGTTACCACATGTTTCTGCGCCTTAAAGTTCCTGTTCTGCTTCACTTAAGATGCTCCCTCTTCGCAATATTGGTCTCTCTCCGCAATATTGTCTGTATTGTAGCAAAACTCGTTAAAATGTCTACACGCACCTTCACAAGGTAACTAGGTGCACCTCACTAGATGCGCGTGCTTGTGCATTCAGAAGCTGACAAAGCCGTTGGAACGATGTGGATCAAGTGATGCTGACCTTTTCTCACACATTCCTTCGGCTAACTTTCCCACCTTTCGCCCTGACGCGATCCTGGTCTCCGTTCTCCATAGCTATCTAGTGCGCGTGAATCATACTGGAGACGTGTTCCCACGCACTTTCGGGTGGTCTTCGCTGCTTTCGTTATAATGAAATCATGGCCTTTGGAATACCCGTAGGAACCAGTGCCCGTCGGACAAAAGAGGGGCGAAAACAAAGAGGCCGGCGCAAACTCAACGCGCTGCCATGCACACAAGCTCCACCGACGCCGACTTTACTGGCATAATTACGGACCTCCGGGCTTATTGTAGGGAAGATATTTTTTTTCTTTTTTTATCGCTGTGTCTAGCCCACAGCCTGACCGAAAATTTCAGAAAGCCTAAAGAGAAGCGCAAAAGGGGGGAAAAGTGATCTGAAAGAAGCTGTACGAATTTCGGTGCCTGGTTCGTCAGCGCGGAAATGTCCGAAATATCATCTTTATTTTCACAAAGAGCACATCAAATAAAAAAAAGTTTAACGTGCAACTTGCCGTGTTTATACTAAATGCCGGCAGTGCAAGAGTACAATAACCATATGCAGAGATTTTGTCAACCGTATCGCGGCAAGACAGCGTGTTGAAATCCGTTCCGTTGGTTTCGGATAGCACCGGCGCGCGCGGCGACCACGTGCTTTTTGAGACAGAGAGGGAGTCGTGCCTTCTGCTTCGCATTCATATGTAAACACAGGAGACTTTGCTCAGTCAATATGGCCGACTTCCGGCTTCATCGCGGCTTCACAACGAGTGACGCCAGGGCCCACGGAGGAAGGAAAGGTAAGGAGAGGCCCTGACGTCACTCGTTGTGAAGCCGCGATGAAGCCGGAAGTCGGCCATATTGACTACGCAAATTCTCCTCTCTTGTTTACATATGAATGCGAAGCAGAAGGCACGACTCCCTCTCCGGCTCGGAAAGCACGTGGGCTGTGCAGCGCGTGTGTCGTGACGATCCGAAACTAATGGAACTGGGCTCATCACTCAGAGCCAGCGGGACACCTTCAGCGAAATCGCTTCGTCCGAGTAATAACAAAGAGTAACAGCTCGCTGACAACGAAGCAACTACGAGAGAACGCGCGCTAGATGCACTGACAACGGCGAGTGCTTTCACGTCATTAATTGAGCAACTGTACAGACAACACGATCGGTCGTGCGCCTTCTACGGTTGCATTCCGCCACGCGGCCGACGCAGCATCCTGCCACTGTGTCCATGTTCCGCGTGAAACTCACCGGCGTCAGCATTCTGCGACCGTGGTGACTTTGAGCACGGTGCTAGTGACAGTTGAACGTGGTTGCTGTTACGTCGAGATTATATGCAATGTTGGTGGAGAGTGTACCAAGCGGAACAGAAAAGGTGTTTTAATACGCACATGCAAGTTGTTACTGTACACACACAACACGAAACTACGTATGTGCACATGGTCCTCATGGCGTCTTGCTGGGCCCAACAGCGTCG